CAATAAGCGACGGTAGATAGCTTATATTCATTAGAAAAAATGACGCTAATGCACATAAAATATCTTATAATGGAGAGGAGAGGGGTCAAAAAAACTTAAAAATATGCATAATATTTTAATATTTTTAGGAAAAAAGTTATAAAGTAAAAGGATACAAGAAATGACTACCAGAATGATGAAAAATTGAAATATTCCTATTCCTCACGAAATATTATATTTAGATTCTAAATTTTTCTGTATTAAAAAATAGAAAAAATTATTTTAACTATTATTTTCTAAAAAAATTATTGAGTCAGAATCAGTGAAATTTTACAAGAAATAAGGAGTATTTTTATAATCGAAATGAAAAAAAGCATTTTTATTTGGCCATTGTCTCTAACAAACAAACGACAGAAAAAATTTTGTTTAAAAAAAGTTATTGTAAAATGATTTTTTTTGCAACTTTTTATAAAAAAATCTTATTTTCCTAAAACAATGAACCAAGAGTGCATACAAAAGGGGTGAAACAAATTACTTTCATTTGGAACTACAAAATTTTTAAAAATAGTATTTTTTAATAATTATTTAATATTAAAAGTTTTATTTCCTTATAGGGTGTCGATTTTCTTAGATAATCAATTATTTTTACAAATTTTCAAGTATAGCGTATATAAATATTTCAACATGGGGAAAAAATTCTCCGGATGTTTGTGTGTGGATGCATATCGAAATGTTTTTTCAACATTTCGATGAAAAAAAATACTTTTTATTTCTCGAGAAAATTTTATAAGTTTTGAACCTTTTTTCTAAATTATTAAATTTTAATTATTATTAAATTGTTTTTAACAAAAAATCTTTTCATTTTTATTATAAATATTTATAAAAAGACAATAAGTAATTGCTTAAGTCATGTAAAACGTTGACTTAAAATCATAACCTCAATTCGTTCAAATAAGTTCACTGGCAATGTCAAATACAAGAAGACTATACAGGAGGAACAACTCGAGTATTTCCGATGGTCCCGATTTTAACGGACGATTGGGCGTACTACCCCGAGGCGCACTAGTCTTCTGCACATCTCAACACATGCATAACTGTGTATATTTTATATATATTTCATCTGACAGCTGTAACAGCTGCAAGTTTTTATTATCCCCTCATATTGAATAATAAGTGTAAATATTAAGTGAACTTAATATTTTTAATACAGAAATTTCTAAAAAAAAGTGAGAAGTGTATTTAACACTAGTGTTTTTAATTATGATTCGTATTGATGAAGAGTGTTAATTTAAATAATAAAAGTTGTAATGGGATTTTCATAACCATTTTTTATCTTACAATAAAAAAAGGGTATGTTATATTATAAATTATTATCTATCCTATTGTAATATATAATTTATTATATATTTATTATTGCTGCAATTATATTTATTTCTGTTATAGCATTGTATTTGAGGTTAACCATAACCTCCAAAGAGGAATTTTTCCAACTGAACTAAGTTTTCGGATTTAACGCTCTACGATATTTCAAAGATTTTAAAAGAGATTTATAAATTATAAAAACTAATGAAGATGAAATCAAGCAAAAATATTTCAGAAGATACAAACTCTTTTGGGGCATTTCATTTAGTGTTTTCAAAATCAACTGTCACAGAACTTGCACATAACCAAGAAAATTGTAAACAAAACAAACACACATTATTTAAAGATACACAGATAGAGTTTATACAGTTATGCATGTGTTGCGATGTGCAGAAGACTAGTGCGCCTCGGGGTAGTACGCCCAGTCGTCCGTTAAAAACGGGACCACTGCTCTCTATGAACAAGCAGGCGAGTTGGTTCTCCTGTATAATAGTCTTCTTGGTCAAATAAGATCATCTTATTTGACTATGAATACTTGGCATTCTTAAAGTCCCACTCAAAGTCGAAGCATTTACTTTATCAAGCATATGCTAAAGTTGCGGCTTAAGGCAATGCTTATTGCACGACTATGAATCTAGGAGACGCATGATTTTCCCCTAAACGCCAAGTGGTCGAATGTTCAAATGGTCGAATACCAAGTAGTCGAATCGTTAACTGGTCGAATGCTAGAAACATCGAATAGTCAAAACGTCGAATGTTCAAAACATCGACTCATCAATTGATCGAATGTTCAAAACGTCGAATCGTCATTTGGTCGAATGCTAAAAACGTCGAATCGTCAAATGGTCGAATGCTCAATACGTCGAATGCTCAAATGGTCGAATGCTCAAAAGGTCGAATGCTCAAATGGTCGAATGCTAAAAACATCGAATTCTCAAATAGTCGAATGTTCAAAACGTCGAATCGTCAAATGGTCGAATGCTAAAAACATCGAATTCTCAAATGGTCGAATGTTCAAAACGTCGAATCGTCATTTGGTCGAATGCTAAAAACGTCGAATCTTCAAATGGTCGAATGCTAAAAACATCGAATCGTCAAATGGTCGAATGCTCAAAAGGTCGAATGCTCAAATGGTCGAATGCTAAAAACGTCGAATCGTCAAATGGTCGAATGCTCAAAACGTCGAATCGTCAAAAATTCGAAAAATTTGCTTGGTTTAAGTTAATGTTGACTTAAACCAAGCAAATTTTTCGAATTTTTGATGATTCGACGTTTTGAGCATTCGACCATTTGAGAATTCGACGTTTTGAGCATTCGACCATTTGAGGATTCGACGTTTTGAGCATTCGACCATTTGAGAATTCGACGTTTTGAACATTCGACCATTTGAGAATTCGACGTTTTTAGCATTCGACTATTTGACGATTCGACCTTTTGAGTATTCGACCATTTGACGATTCGACCTTTTGAACATTCGACTATTTGACGATTCGACGTTTTTAGCATTCGACTAAATGACGATTCGACGTTTTGAACATTCGACCATTTGAGAATTCGATGTTTTTAGCATTCGACCATTTGACGATTCGACCTTTTGAGCATTCGACCATTTGACGATTCGATGTTTTTAGCATTCGACCATTTGAGAATTCGACGTTTTGATCATTCGACAAATTGACGATTCGATATTTTGAACATTCGACGTTTTTAGCATTCGATGTTTTTAGCATTCGACCAGTTAACGATTCGACTACTTGGTATTCGACCATTTGAACATTCGACCATTTGTCGTTTAGGGGAAAATCATGCGTCTCGAATCTAGGTGGCAGCTTAAGTCGCTGCTTAAGGGTGCGATCCCATGTGAGCAGAATACGTCGACCGAAAGCAGAAAATCATGAGTGCAAAAGAGATAAATAGATATTGTTGTTCTTTTCACTCTCATGATTTTCTGCTTTCGGTCGACGTATTCTGGAGACGCATGATTTTCCCCTAAACGACAAATGGTCGAATGTTCAAATGGTCGAATACCAAGTAGTCGAATCGTTAACTGGTCGAATGCTAAAAACATCGAATGCTAAAAACGTCGAATGTTCAAAATATCGAATCGTCAATTTGTCGAATGATCAAAACGTCGAATTCTCAAATGGTCGAATGCTAAAAACATCGAATCGTCAAATGGTCGAATGCTCAAAAGGTCGAATCGTCAAATGGTCGAATGCTAAAAACATCGAATTCTCAAATGGTCGAATGTTCAAAACGTCGAATCGTCATTTAGTCGAATGCTAAAAACGTCGAATCGTCAAATAGTCGAATGTTCAAAAGGTCGAATCGTCAAATGGTCGAATACTCAAAAGGTCGAATCGTCAAATAGTCGAATGCTAAAAGCGTCGAATTCTCAAATGGTCGAATGTTCAAAACGTCGAATTCTCAAATGGTCGAATGCTAAAAACATCGAATGCTAAAAACGTCGAATGCTCAAAACGTCGAATCGTCAATTTGTCGAATGATCAAAACGTCGAATTCTCAAATGGTCGAATGCTAAAAACATCGAATCGTCAAATGGTCGAATGCTCAAAAGGTCGAATCGTCAAATGGTCGAATGCTAAAAACATCGAATTCTCAAATGGTCGAATGTTCAAAACGTCGAATCGTCATTTAGTCGAATGCTAAAAACGTCGAATCGTCAAATAGTCGAATGTTCAAAAGGTCGAATCGTCAAATGGTCGAATACTCAAAAGGTCGAATCGTCAAATAGTCGAATGCTAAAAGCGTCGAATTCTCAAATGGTCGAATGTTCAAAACGTCGAATTCTCAAATGGTCGAATGCTCAAAACGTCGAATCCTCAAATGGTCGAATGCTCAAAACGTCGAATTCTCAAATGGTCGAATGCTCAAAACGTCGAATCATCAAAAATTCGAAAAATTTGCTTGGTTTAAGTCAACATTAACTTAAACCAAGCAAATTTTTCGAATTTTTGACGATTCGACGTTTTGAGCATTCGACCATTTGACGATTCGACGTTTTTAGCATTCGACCATTTGAGCATTCGACCTTTTGAGCATTCGACCATTTGACGATTCGATGTTTTTAGCATTCGACCATTTGAAGATTCGACGTTTTTAGCATTCGACCAAATGACGATTCGACGTTTTGAACATTCGACCATTTGAGAATTCGATGTTTTTAGCATTCGACCATTTGACGATTCGACGTTTTGAACATTCGACTATTTGAGAATTCGATGTTTTTAGCATTCGACCATTTGAGCATTCGACCTTTTGAGCATTCGACCATTTGAGCATTCGACGTATTGAGCATTCGACCATTTGACGATTCGACGTTTTTAGCATTCGACCAAATGACGATTCGACGTTTTGAACATTCGATCAATTGATGAGTCGATGTTTTGAACATTCGACGTTTTGACTATTCGATGTTTCTAGCATTCGACCAGTTAACGATTCGACTACTTGGTATTCGACCATTTGAACATTCGACCACTTGGCGTTTAGGGGAAAATCATGCGTCTCGTATTCTGCTCACATGGGATCGCACCCTAAGAAATAAGTATCGACTATGAATACCGCCCATCGAATCAAATCGCGGATCTTACGCCTGCGCGTAAATAACGTAACTCCGCACGTAACAAAATCCTGTAAGTCTTGTAAATTCTGTAAATCATGAAATCAGCTGTTCAATTAAAGTTCCAAAGTAATGTTTTTGATTTTTGATCTAGATTTTTTATTAAAATTAAACGATTCTTTACAATTAGTTTTTAATTGTATCATAAGATGAAATTTCAATCGACAAAATAGTAATGGCTAATTCTATTTTTGATGCACTGACAGGTAAGAAATCTATAGAGAAATTTCTTTTAACAATTGAGGTTATGCACTAAAATCAATTAGTAATTAAAATTGTCTCAAATGTTAGAAATTTATTTTTTAAACAATTCAATAACAATAATGTATATTTATTAAAGGTGTTTGCCTGGATAATTCTACAGTACAATCTTTACTTGAATCTCAAACTCTTATCACTCAAGTTGAACAATCAGGTATTTTATTTTGTCATCTTCATTATTATATTCTGGTGAAAAATAAATTATTTGTTTACTCTCTATTAGCGATAGATCAGGATGAGGAGGATATATTTCAGTGTGGCAAGTGTAAAAGTCAATTTACTTCATTGCAATTGTTTATATTACATAAACAGGAACATTTCAAAGTACAAGAACAATCAGTAGATATTAGTCAATATTTAGTAACTAATACTTCTCAAATTGTATCTACGGATGAAACGTGCTCCGATGGAACGCAATATCACACACAGGAGACTTTTGATCAAACGGATCAACTTGACGAGCCAATTATTCTCGAAGGCAACGATATGTTGTTTAGGTATAAGTATACAATTTTATTTTACCACTGCAATCTTTTACAAGTAAATAATTGTGATGAACTTATTTTCCAGTATGGACCAGGAGGGTTCGAGTTATTTGCCTTCTGATCCTGGTTTTAATGTTCCGATTATTTTAAGTACCGAGAGTATTGATTCATTTGGAAATCCGTCACTTAATTCTGATGCAGAGTCTATAAGTGTGAAAGTCCATAATATACAACCATTGGAGGATAAGAATTGTCAAAATGAAGATTTTACAAGTTCAAATCTTTATCATAATTTTACAGAGGAAATTCCCATTACAGATACTGATGATAAGGAGAAAAAACCTTCTGTTGAGCAAGAAAATCAACCAACACAAAATCTAAAGGTATATTTATTGTCAGGGAAAAGTCAGGGATTTTTATTAAAAGTACTGGAAAAAATTTAATTTTTAGAACTCATAAGAAAATTCAGAATTTTTGTGTCTTGTTTGTTTGCCTCATAAACTATGAAATTATCACGAATTCCAAAAAAAACTTTCAATTTTTTCTATTTCTGTCAATAATTTCTTTTTAAATAACTTAAATCCTGAAGAACTATCATAAAATTCTGTGGAAAAAAGGCATAACAGCATAACTGCATTTGTCATGATTTCAAGATAAATTAATTTTAATGTTCTCTCACTTCTGTCAATTCAGAAAATCAACAGATTTGTTCGGTCTTTTGCATTTAGTATTATTATTTAATATATTTTCAAAATTCATTTATAACATTTAATAAAACACACGATTTGATATAAATTTTGATTTTTTCATCGGAATCATGAGTTTTATTGCACTTATGCGATTATGCAAGTTCAGTTTGCATATGAGTCCAACTTCAGACACTTTTAAAGTCACAATTTATTTTGGTTTGATTTGTCATAATAATAAGATTTGTTCACACAAACACAAATTAAACTATTAATTCGTTAGAAAAAATTATAAGAATTTATTTAGTTATAAAATTTATTTTTTTATAAAATGTTTTTAATTTATTTAAACGAGAAAAGAGTTATTTTACTGTTCAACTTGAAGAATTTTTCAATTTATTTTTTGAAATACTTTCCAAAATTTTTTAGAATAGAAATACCCTTAAAAATAAGTACATAATTAAATGCACAATTTATGTTATAAAAAATTTGTTCCAGTTTTATTAAAATAAATATATTTAATTTAAAGTACGAAAAATGTATTTCACTAAAAACATTTTATTACAAAATTCTTATTGTTTTTATTCTTAAAGGTTATTTTCATTTTTAATTATGTCAATTGTTTTTTAAACTGAATGCAGTTATGTTATTATGCTGGTCTCCTTTTGTCAAAAATGCAATTATGCGATTATTTTTTCCATTATTTTCTACATTAATAATAACCATTTTAATGATTTTTCAGCTATTGAACTTTGAAGAGCAATATTAAATATATACAAATCTGATGTTATCTCAAATTTGATAAAAATGTCAGTTATGCTGTTATGCATTTCTTCCACAGAATTATTACTGTGCGATTCCATGGGAGATTTTAGTTTTTTCGGAGTAAGTAAACCAATTGCAATGAAACTTAGGAATTTCAATCTACACATAAAAAGAAACATTTTCACCAAATATTACGTCAAAATATTCAGTAGTTTTTGAGATGTCAAAATTTTGGAAAAATTTTGAAATCGTTATATCTTCTTTCCATCTTAACCAAATCACTTAATTCTTTTTGGAAAAAATTCAGCATAAAAAAACGAAAACATTTTTTATATTATGTTTATAAAAAATTTTTATAAACAAAAAAGTTATTAAATAATAATTGAATAACTTTTGCACGACTAAACGAAATTGAATGAGGCAAACACTAAACAAATCTTCACTGTGGTTTTTTTAAGGTTCCGAAAAAAACATGGTACATCACGAAACATTTCTATACAATATTTTAATATTTTTGTTCACTTTTAAGCGTAAACATTAGAAGTTTCTGCTACTTTACGTGCAAATTCAGATGCGCGCGCAGACCTCTCTTTCTAATCATCTACGAATTTCCGGTTTCAGAGAGAGAGGTCTGCGCGCGCATCTGAATTTGCACGTAAAGTAGCAGAAACTTCTAATGTTTACGCTTAAAAGTGAACAAAAATATTAAAATATTGTATAGAAATGTTTCGTGATGTACCATGTTTTTTTCGGAACCTTAAAAAAACCACAGTGAAGATTTGTTTAGTGTTTGCCTCATTCAATTTCGTTTAGTCGTGCAAAAGTTATTCAATTATTATTTAATAACTTTTTTGTTTATAAAAATTTTATATAAACATAATATAAAAAATGTTTTCGTTTTTTTATGCTGAATTTTTTCCAAAAAGAATTAAGTGATTTGGTTAAGATGGAAAGAAGATATAACGATTTCAAAATTTTTCCAAAATTTTGACATCTCAAAAACTACTGAATATTTTGACGTAATATTTGGTGAAAATGTTTCTTTTTATGTGTAGATTGAAATTCCTAAGTTTCATTGCAATTGGTTTACTTACTCCGAAAAAACTAAAATCTCCCATGGAATCGCACTACTTACAAAAATAAATAATTTTACACGGAAAAAAATGTTTACCTGGAACAGCGATAAGTTTCTCTAAAATAGCGAAAGTCTTAACTGAAACAACTAAAAATTTGGCTAACCTAGCGAAATTTATAGCTGTTCCAGGTGAATATTTTTTTCTGTGTACTTAAATATTTAAAACTTATTTAAATTTTAAGAGTTGCGTTTATAATTTTCATAAATAGATGAACTTCAAAAGGTTTTAATTTGGAATTAGTTAAATTTAGTTAAATTTTTAAATATATATTTAATTGATTATTAAAAATAATGGATTTGTAGAAGAATTTTATTTAAAAACACTAAAAAAATTGAATTTTGGAGAAGTTACAAATGATTGCAAAAATTCAATTATTTTCAAAAAAATGATTATTTACAAACATTCTTCCCAGAAATTCAATTATGTTCAAAAATTTAACAAAATTGTCGTCAAAATTTCAATTATCTATATATACATAGTAAAATTCTTCTCCGAAATTAAATTTTTTAATAAAATTCATGGCAAAATTTCAATTATTTTCAATTTCCTTAATTCAATGATTTTCAATGTATACAATTTAATTAAATTTTCCAAAATAATTCAATTATTTAACCCTCTGCTGATGCTAACTTATCCCCACTCTATTGTCAAAGAACGTAAATCCCATAGTCCCCACCAGGCGCCCAGAATGACGATTTTTGACGATAACGGTCGTTAGCATCAGCAGAGAGTTAAAAAAAAATTTGGTAAAATTCTACGCAAACATTAAATTATTTTCGTAAATAATAAAAATTTCACAGGAATTCTATTATTTACAAATTTTATATAATTTATTTCGCAATAATTCAATTATTTTCATTATAATAATACATTTTTTATATAGCGATTCAATTATTTTTATTTATAATAACATTTTTTTTGTTATTCTTTTAACATTCTTTTAACATTTTTTCAACATTCTTTTAACATAAAATAATGATTTTATTACTCGGTCATCTTTAATTATCATAAAAAATGAAGAAATTGATCAATTTGTTTTATATTTATATTTATTATTATTATTATTATTATTACTATTATTAATTATAATTATTTATTATTCCTATAAGTTATTGAATTGCAAAAAGTTTGAATTTGAAATTTTTGAAAATCCTATTTCCTATGAAAAAATAATAATGATTAAATATTTATTTAAAAAAAGATGTTATTGATGTTACAGTATAATTTTACAATTAAAGAAATTCGTAAATAAATGTAATAGAACATATCTTTGAGTACCTATCTAATAATTTTTAGAGTGAATCAGTATATTTTTTAGGATCAGGGAAAAAGTCAACATTTTGTTTGAAAATCAGGAAAAATCAGGGAAAAACAAAATTAAATTTTTGTGTCAATCCTGATTGTAATTGAGGGCCTGGAACGGATAACTGCCTGCAACGCATGGTCTAAAGGAACTATACCAGTCAGACATCAGTGAGAGGCCTAGAGGCGCTCACTATTGTCTGACTGGTATAGTCCCTTTCGACCATGCGTTGCAGGCAGTTATCTGTTCCAAGCCCTCAATTATTTTTAGGAGTTTTGTTTAAATTGTATTTTAACTTAAATATTTGTCTTTTACAGTACAAATGCGATTTTTGTGAAAAGCAATTTTCAAAAAAATTTTACTGGCAACAACATGAACGTTCACATACAGGGGAAAAACCATATCAATGCGTAGTTTGTGGTCGTTCATTTGCACAGAAATCTAATGTTAAGAAACACATGTCTTCGCACAAAGTGTGGCCCGGCACGGCTATTCATTCCCTTCCACCTGAAGTAAAAATCCATTTTTAGATTAATTATTACAATTATGATTATTAAGTTTTTTTCTTTTCTTAAACAATTTTTATAAATTTTGTTTCCAGGCTCCAACAGACGGAAGTATTGACAAGACCTATCATTGTCAATTTTGCAAAGAAATATTCGATTCGTACAAAGCGTTAAAGGCGCATTTAATAATTTCTCATTTGACTCTAAAAGTATATAAATGCGTTCAGCTTGGATGTAGTTTAATGTTCCAAGAGTTAGATGATTTTTTAGAGCACACACGCAGTCATAAACGTTCTGAATATCGTTGTCATGTGTGCGGTAAAGTTTTTAATACACTCTCTGATTTGGGTAGTCATCAATACAGTCACACCGTCCGTAAGCAAAAAACAACAGAAAAATATTATTGTTGTTCAATTTGTAAATCGTCATTTTCCAATTTGGAGTCATTGAATCATCATATGGAGACAACAACGCACGATTACGCTTGTCCACATTGTGGAAAAAGTTTTTATGTCGAGAGATTTTTGAGACGTCATTTAAAAACACACGCCGCGCAATCACGTTTCATTTGTGAGGACTGTGGAAAGGCTTTCAAGACTGAACAATATCTTACGAATCATAAATTGATTCATAATGATGAGACACCGTTTATTTGTTCAGTGAGTAGGGTAAACCAGACAGTAGTCGGCCACCGGCTCAAAAACCTTTAAAAATAATATTTTTTTCGATTACAAATGTATAGGGTCATTAACAATAATACTACAAACGTTTAGCAAAAAAAATTTTTTTTTATCTCATATGGATTTGTAGTTATTTAAAATTTAGAGGTGTCCGACTACTGTCTAGTTTACCCTATATGGAATAAGATTTTTTTTCTTTTGCTTTATTCTTTATTCAAGAATTGAAAATTATAAATTTAAAAAATTCATTTTTTTCAGTATTGTCCATCGAAATTTAAGAGGAAAGATCGACTTCGTCGTCATATGTTAATACACGATTTAACAAAAAGATTAAAGTGTCCATATCGAAATTATGTTGGTTGCATGAGGGAATTTTCTCGTCCCGATAAATTAAAAAGGCACATACTTACGCACAGCGATATTAAAACATTCAGATGCAATCTTTGTTCGAAAAATTTCCACAGGCCACAGGCACATAAACATCAAGAACTCTATAAGCATTGTTTAAAATGTGAAGTCTGCTCGTTGGTAAGTTTTTATAGAAATTTCAAAACAATCGGATACTTTTTTACTATCTTCTCATGAATTCAATTATTTTAAAAAATTTTAATAATACTCTTTGCATGAATTAAATTATTTTCATAAATAATTAAATTCAATTTCAGGAATTTCGAACATCCGATCAGCTAATTAATCACAGTTGTGAGCCAATAATAGAAGAAAATTCAAAAGCAGCAATGAAGATTGTTAAAAATACAAAAACGCGAAAAACAATTTCTAAAAGAAAATCCAATTCTAAAATTGCACACAATAAAAATAAAAATCAAAAGTTAGACGATTTAGAAGAAATAGATAATTGTGATGAAAACATAATGAATGATTTTGTTGAAATTAATAATGAAATATTAATAGACGAATCTTCCTGTAATTCATTTGAAAAAGAAATGGAATTAACGCACGAGGATTCAGATTCCGAATTTATAGCGTATTTAAAAATGTCCGTGAGAGAGGAACTTGATACAAATAATTCTCACGAGGAAAACAAATAGAAGACTTCTTTAAGTATAAATATATTTTCTTTTTTTTTAATCATTTAAATAATAAATAATTTCTAAAGAGTAGATTTTAAAAGCAATTTATAATGAAGTAGAATTTAAATTTGTAAAGAATAGAGTTTTAAATTTATTTGTAAAAGAGTAGAATTTCATTATATATATAAAAAATTTATTAGTGTGTGCAATGGGATCATTCGCTAATTGTAAGTGCAAATTTAATGCATTTTATAATAGCAAATACGGTAAATGTAGTTTACATATCTGTGATAACTGTATTATAAAATATTACAAATGTAAGTAACTTATAATTATTTCAGATTGTTTTATTCTATAAAAAAAAATTTATCTCTTTAAAATTTAGTGAATTTCGCTTTATATTAAGGATACTTATAACAGCATAATTCTTATAATTCTATATATAGGATTTATTTCAAAGGTTTTATGTATGTACTTTATTAAACTTCATCGCATCACTTTCAATTAATATATGTGACCTGGTCTATGAAAAGGGACCTTACGTGACAAAAAATTTTTTTTTACTTTTTTGTTGATTCGGATAGAGTTTGAAATGCTCTTTAAGATGGGGAAAACCAAAAAGTCATAAGTTGATTAGAAGTTTCTTAAAAAATTTTTTAAAGACAAAAGAAACAAGAGTAAAAATACGAAAAAACTGATTTTTTTGTTATTATACAAATTAAAATAACGAAGACAATAATTCGTTATTATTTAGAAAAGTTGACAGTTTCTTTGACAACTGTCAACAATTAAAATTCAAATTTGATATCATATTCGTTATCAGCGACCTCAAAAACCTTAGAACTGTCTTTTTTATAAAAAAACGATCACTTTTTAGAGAAGTTGCCAGTTGTCAACTGTCAAAGTCAATTTAACATCATATTTGTAATCAGCGGCCTCGAAAACCCTTACAAACATATCTCTATCCCTCTCACACTCATTGCCTAGTTACAAAACGCAACGCAAAACGCTGCCATGGAACTTCAGCCTTAGGGTGAAGTCCCATGGCAGCGTTTTGCGTTGCGTTTTGTAACTAGGCAATGAGTGTGAGAGGGATAGAGATATACGTTTGCTATATTTGCACTCATGGCCTAGTTACAAAACGCAACGCAAAACGCTGCCATGGGACTTCACCCTAACTGCTGTTTTCGCACGTAAGGTCCCTTTTCAAGTCGGTTCTACAATGGGCACGTCGGACGTGGTCGTCTGACGTGCCGTTCTGACGTCACCCATGCTATTCAAATGGGTGACGTCAGCACGGTACGTTAGACGACCACGTCCGACGTGCCCATTGTAGAACCGACTTCATAGACCAGGTCACATATATATATATACCAGTAAGAAAAGCTATCCGTCAGTCATAGGAAGGTATGGGTATAAGTCTGTCTCACTCCTACTCATGGGATATGACTGACGTGGTAGGTTTTCGTACTGTTTATATATATATTAGGGTGGTTCTTATTTGGGCGATGTTTCCAAATCTTCGGTCTCACCCCAAAAAATTAATCATAGTATATTAAGCAACAAGGGTATAAAGGCAGCCATTTGTTTACGGTGATTTTTGTGACACGAGTGGAGGTCGAGGGCACCGTAGGCGCCCCGAGACGACAGGGAATAAAAATCAGTCACTTGTTCGACTTATATGAAAATGGCGGCCGTTTTCTCCCTTGGGCAAAAATAACGCATGGGATCAGCGGTTATTTTTGCACATGGGAGAAAATGGACGCCATTTTCATATGGTCGAACAAATGAGTGACTTTACTCCCTCTCGTCAGCTATCTAAAAGCGCCATTTTTGTGCATGTGGGATAAAAAGGTATTTTCCATTTAAAATTTCAGTCGACTAGAGGCACGTGTTAATATTGTTCGATTTGCTTCAAACTTTCAGGAAAATCTTTTTTTATATACCTTGATTAATTTTTTGAGGTGAGACCGAAGATTTGGAAACATCGCCCAAATAAGAACCACCCTAATATATATATATTTATATGTCGTAGGCAACTCATAGAGATAATATAAATAGAGTGGGGATGGTTTGCATGTATGCGTCCGCTTGATAGAAAGAGAAAGAAGATTTAGCACCAGTAGGTGTCTCTCTTGCGCTGGAGCTCATTGAAGGACAGATTTCTGTTTATGGCAGGACACTTCCCCCACACGCTGCCGCCTATACCTTCCCCACTCTATTTATAAAATCTCTATGAGGCAGGAAGGAAGAGTAAGGAGACCGAACTCTGCTTCTACAACTGTCTGAGAAATATGCACGAAAAGTGCCAGACTCACTGTGTTCTAAGTTAAGTTAAGTTAAATTTGATTGGCACTATACTGGCTTTATGCCTGTATATCCGGCCATGACCTGGTGAGTAAAATATAATCACTGTGTTCTAGTTGATCACCAATTAAGTCGATCATGCGCATTGAACTAAAGTTCAGTGTTGACATAGATACAAAGTGTGGTTATGTCAAGGTAAATATTACATAGTTTAAACAGTGTTAATTTTAAAAGCAAATTTATTTATTTGCAATTGTGATATTATTTAGATTTTCAAAATAATTTAATAATATATTTATGAAAAGGGAAAAATTTTGCGAAAATGGTTAAGAAGAATTGTGTTTATAACTAGAGTCTATTTACATACCGTAGAAGGATAGAAGAGACTAATGTTTTTAGACTCTTTTTCTTTCTTTACATCCTGGCACACAACACGACAATTTTTAAATAAAATAAATAAATAATTATTAAAACGAAATGTATTGTATATGTATGTATCTCACTAAGACCGGCTAAATGTAAACATTAGAACTTACATCTCACTCGCACAATTTTTACGAGAAACAGAGACACAACACAGCTTATGCGCATGACAGGGAGTAAGACTAAGGAGACTGAACTGACTGTGTGAAGTCTCTCAAAAATGAAACCTTTTTCTGTAGGGGAACTATACTCGCAGAATGACAAAACTTATGCTCCGCGCGCATGCGCAGTACATGCGCATATTGCTCTCTCTCTTTATATCGTAAAATATAAGCAAGTGAGAGAACAAAAACTTATCAATAGGTTATGGTTATGTTTTGACATATGATTCTTAAAATAAAATTTCAAAATTATGATTTGTTGCATACCAGGATGCAAAACATCATATTACAATGATCGACAAACGAATAAATTAACTTATTGATAACTTTTATGTGACATTTAAAGCTGTTTATTTATAAAGTATATAATTAAAGTAAATTACAAATTCGTAAATATTATTTATTTAGGAATTGTTCAATTGTTTCCACAAAGAATAAAACACTTTGTAGTTATATACCAAAAAAATTGATTCTGAACATTTATAAATATTTCATTATATTATTAATATATTACTTATCACTGAAAAATATACACTCTTTAGTATATATTTTTGTATGCACATTTATATTTATTAAATTAATTTTTTTTTCAATTTACTAATAGTTATTATTAATAATATTTCCTGAAACGCACAACATTCACAAACATTAAACATAACCTTCTCAACTTGTAGCTTATAATGATTTTTCAGTCGCATCTGAGTTACTGAGAAGGACAGAGACAAATATATTGCATGTGCGCATGCGCGAAAACCATAATTTTCAGTCTTACGTATAGTTTCAATGCGACGAATGGTTTCACTTCCATAGCATTAGTTCAGTCTCCTTAGTCTTACTCCCTGGCGCATGATCAACTTAATTGGAAGTCGACTAGAACGCAGTGAGCCTGGCACTTTTCGTGCATATTTCTCTGAGATTTTTAAAGCTCTTTCTACACAGAGTTCGGTCTCCTTACTCTTCCTTCCTGCTATGAGGCAACTAGAAGAATCCGACATTAAGCTTAATACCTAAGTCTATATGTAAATTTTTGGTACACAAATTACTGTAAACTATGATTTAAACACTACCATATTAATTGAAGGCAGAAGGAAATGGGTTAATCAGCTGCTCTGTGCCTTGGGCATATCTTGCTGCTGCTGATCCAAGCTCTAGATCGGGAAGGAGACGGATGATGTTGAAATTTTCTGTAAATTGTATCATTTAAGCATGCGTAGTGCACTTTCAAAATTATCCTAATATTATAGTTATTGCTGAGTTTGGTGGTTCTCTCTTTTTTTTTGCGCCTTCTATTAAATATAGATCACATTATACTTTATAAGTGATCGATTAAACCTAGATATACCTCAATAGATTAATTAATTTATTGATTTCCCATTTATGCTTGGTGAAGGTATTCTCAATCGAGCCTGGATAAATATATGTCAGTGTTATCCTTTCTAAAAAATTGCAAAGCAGAAAAAGCTCGAATTGAAAAAAGTCGAACTCGAAAAGTATCGAAGCAAGAAATAAGCAGAGAATAAAAAAGAACATAGAAAGCGCACCTCACACTCTAAATGTAAACGAAATAGATGGAGCATGGAGCTGTCTTGGGTTTGTCTTGTTTATCTCAAGAAAAATTTATAAATAAAATGATTTTATTTATAAATAAAATGAAATCATAAATAAAAAAAAGAAGGATATCAAATAATAAAAATATAATAATTAAAAATATAAAATAGAATTTAATTAAAAATTAAAATAGAATTAAGAATAAAGCAGCAACAAAGTCGACCGCCAAGCGGTCGACGAGGGCTCTGGTTTTATATAAAAAATTATTAAATTAAAAAACTGAACATTAGAACTTTTAAAAATTGAACAAAAATGAAGAAGGAATAGAAGCAACGAAGACGGCCGAAGGCCGTCTGAAGCGCTAGTTGCCTTTAAAAAACTAAATGTCTATAATAGTTTTCTCATTCAGGAACAGCTGGGATAGTCACAGACCTAAGTTTAAACCTTCCCGCCACTCTTCCTTCCTAAATTTGTCCGACGTTGCACACGTTGGATCCAACGGAAAGACATTCATTCGTTCCCGTGCTGGGGCCGTATTCTCGAATCGATGACCCTAGATGTCGCATGCGACAGGGGCCGTATTCTCGAATCGATGACCCTAGATGTCGCATGCGACAGACCATTCGAGATGGAAAAAGCTATTCTCGAACGCTTGTCGCATGCGAGATTTCATGTCGTATGCGATAATTTCCGAATGGTTCATCTCGAGTGGGTAGTGGCCATTCGAGATGCAAAGTCGTATACGAAATGCTAGTAAAAAATAAGGTTGTGTGTCATCCTTGTAATAAACGTATATAATATAAAGTAGTATTAGTGTACATGAACCGCATGCTAAAGTAGAAAAACTATACAAAATAACCTAAATGTAATGTTTAAGAATTAAAAGTAAACTTGTG